TGTTTGGGTGCAGTGAGGACAACTTACTTGATAGCACCACCTTAAAACACAAGCTTCGACGGCTTGGATGTGTTACGCATGTCATCCTCGACGCTCCCGCGCCGTCTCTTATTTTTCGATGCTGGAAATGGTTGGAAAAGCCAGAGAAGTATATAGTTTATGTCCTAGCGCCAGGATATGAAAGACAACCGTACGCGAGTGGAACATATAGCTGTATCACGACTTCCGAGTTCGAGTCCTAGAGATGGTATGACTTAGTAGCTTGAAAACTTATCAGACATGTGTTAGAATACAAACCAGGGACGAACCTTTTGTAATTTTTCCTTAATTTTTCTATAAAAATGAATGGCTTTTGTAACAGAGTCCTTTCTGGTTGTTTTTTACCGAACGGTAGCAAGACTTATCACTAATTATTTACTACTTTCATTGGTTTTTTATTTAGTTAATAAAAGCGACCCTTTGTGTTATTGAATAAGAGTGAAGAGAATTCAGCGAAAAAATAACTGATACAATCATTTTCTTAAGCCGTATATTCGTATTTGAAATTTTTTGATAAATATAGGAGTATAAGAGGATAGAAGAAGACTTTAACGATTGAGAAGTTAGATGAGAATAACTTTTCACGATTATTATTTAATTTCTATCATTACCTTTACGTTTTTATTTTTTCCTACTCATCTTTCATATTTCTGACCCGTAAATAATCCTCAACTGCTTATTCTTGTCTAACCTCTTGATCGCCAAGCAATCTTTTGATATTTTAAATCTCAGATCACTTTATGGTGTATCTCTCTCTATCCTCTTATACTCATATAATTACCTGACAACTATAAATACGAAAGTACAGCTTGAGAAAATGATTTTATAAAAGTGGGTTTTTTTCATTGGATTTCCTTTATTTTCACTCTGTTTATTTATTTACTTGATTATACCCCCCTTACTTTCCCAGTCTTTTTACAATCCCATTCGATTATTTTAAGGTGACCATTTGTAACAACATTTATTTTAATAAATAAATTCTGATTCGCAACCACTAGCTTTATTCTTACTTCAATACCAGTTAAAATTTTCCGTCGAGGTAGGCAGTGGTTCGATGTACGTAATAAATATCCCAGCTGCTTTAGCTGGGACAACCGAGTTTATATCTCTTCATAGTGCCCCATAATTAACCATAATATTGTTCACTCAATGCTTCGAATGCACCTCTGGTTGAAAACCTGAAGCCTATCCATAGACCATATTTCACAGTCATACAGACGGACCTCTGCGCAGTATATTCGCCGTATGGATAGGGCCATATTAACTAACCACGTGATTAGGTAGGTTGATAAACGCGAGTACCCTTTCTTGAAAAGAAGACTAACACCACGAATCCAGAAACAAGACAACATGCACTTTAAAGAAACTATGTAACCACTCATTCAGTCTGATCTAATTGTTTAAATGGAAAAATCAGACTTCCTACTACTATGAACACCAATATGTTTGTCACAGACTTCTGTAATTTTTGTAGTTGTGGACACTGAATGTTTTAATCATTAATAAAGTGTCGTACTGAAGTTTCCCGAAATTTCGCCAAAATTTATGTAGATTCATGAGTAAGACAAACACAATTGCCACAGTCTAATCAGGATTTCACTCTTAAGGGAAAATTTAGAATCCTATGCAAAAACCTTGCCTGATCGTAACTTGTTCCACAGTTTATTCTTATAGTAAATCAATAAAAGGGATATGATGGTAGCGTAATTTTTACTGCTAAAACACAACTTGACCAAGTGACTAAGGCAAATATTTCATTATTTTGATAAGCATTTAATTAAGGGTTAATCAATGAGTTACTCCAAAATGCATCCTCACCACTATATGAGACTACTCATTTCATGGATTCATAAAATTAGTCTGTACGAAACAACATAAAACAATCATCTCAAAAACTATGCACTAAATAACCAAATAGTGGTGTTTATAGTGGACTACTGTTCGACAGTGTAGGTACATAAAAGTAATGAATCCAAAAAATTCGGACATGAAACGTAAAAACTGAAGTAATAACATTATGATGATAATACTGTATACACAGACAACTTGACTTAAATCAAAAATATTTTATCAAAACTAAAACATAAAATAACGTCAAATGTGGTCACCGGTAAATGGAAAACTATAGGATATAAAACTATTTCACAACTACATAGATGCAAAAAATATTATGAAACTTCATGATGGTAGTAACAAACCAATTACTGATTAAATGAAATCAATAAAACAAACCGTTTCTAAAAACAGAATTGACGGGTGTTGTGTTTATGAATAATATGCACAAGGTTTGTATGAAACAATCAGCATACAAGAAAAAGGAGCATCTTTACATTGTTCGTAAGACGACAAAACTGGTTTAGAATGAGTACTAACTAATTAATGTTTCACAAAAACCTCAAGGTACAATCATGCCGAATTTACTGCAGCCGGTTATAACCGAAAACATTCTCGTTTTTGATCAACCTCTTTGGTGAGCTAGCACATTAATATACTTCAGAAATGTAGTTGCTAGATAGTAAAAGATCTTAGATGAGATATTCGTCTGTTAATGCCAAAGCTAAGTTCCCACGCCGGTTAACTCACGATAATACACCTGTATTCTTTCAATATTCAAAGTGGAAAGCATAATTAGTGTGGTGGGTATTGTGTCACACCAGCATTCACAGGAGCATATGAATGTTGAAAAGACGAGAAATAATTACTTAACACTCCTACCTAGGTGGTTCACGGAGATATAACGTAAAAACGAATCATATTTTTAGACATCAAACCAAATGACTAGTGTTGTAAGAAATGAAGCTGAGGCTTTTGTTGTAGAAATGTAAATGAACATAATTTTGGACTGAACTAAATAGTGCTTTTTCTGCGCAAACTTTTCAAACGACGTCAAAAGCACAACGGAAAACTGTTGTTCATAATAAGGTCCTCTTCAAACATCGTTATGTGAGGGACAAGTTCTTGAAGTATACTGAATAAAAAACAGTATATAATAACGGATAGTTGTTGTCATGGTTGTATGCCTCCTCCACAAGTTCACCTTTTGTCGTGTATGCAACAATTCATAAAAATCAGCTAGATTTACATTTAAAAAATTAAACCAGAAATTATACCTGGCCACTTGATGCAGTAGTCAGGTTTAATTACTACCCGACCCACCCGAGCTACACTGGCTGGAATGCTTGTTCATTGAGATTCAACCACGTGAGGAAAGGTGACTGGATTGTGATGAAATCAAGAGCACTGATTCTCGCAGTATAGGGAATAGCACTGTGAGGGGGACCAGGAGAAAAGTCATACTTTATCTACTGTCTATTCAAAACATAAACTTGGTACATATACGGCACCAAAACATGACACAAAATAATGATATGGGAGATAAAGAAATAGAAGCCAGGGCATTTTATTGATGACCTGGATAATGTGAAGTCTAAAGTGACTTACTCAAAAACTTCGTAACGTAATATTCTTATAATGTCTTACTAGTTATGCGTGGAATTAACAATGCTCTAAGCATCAAGATTATCAATGGCTTCGGCTTTGAAGTATATTTGACTGGTGCTCTTGAGCCCCTCAATTTCTCAAAACTCAGTCAGAAAAACACATTAAGAAATGTGCGCCAATTGTCACAGATCGTCTTGACTTTACGGCAGTAAATAATCCTAATAAACATTTCTTATTCTTATTATTTATTGCCAGAAATTGAAGACAATCCGTGATAAATAATACACATTTCTTAATGTGTTTTTCTGACTGACTTTTGAGAAATTGCGCGGCTCAAGAGTCCCAATCAAACAAACTTCAAAACCGACGCCATCGATGATCATAGATTTCGTGAACTTAACGACAAAACATAACCCTATTTTTTTAATTTTATCGATTTAGTGATAACCCATCTAAAACACAGTCGGACGACTAAATCCTACATTCCTCAGAGGTGTCGGTTACAGGTACTAAAACTACTCCGGCAAATGCAGACAGTACAAATATATGTGTGAGATGAATCCAAATTCCTTCTCACTACACTCGCTACTCACTGTTATCATCAAATAGTACCAATCGAGCCCCGGCATTTGAAGCCAAGAACATAAATTAAAAATATGACCATACAAAATTTTACTGAGTTATATAGACCATGAAACTAATCTAACACTGATGTAGTACTATGTAACTCTTAAGCTCCCCTATACGATCGAAACATTTATTTCTTTACTTTTTTATAGCGCAATGTAAAACCATTTCATACGGTCCCTGATGATCCATCAACTTGTCTACGCAAATAAATGAAACTGAAGCTGAAACTAGGTAAAAGGCAAAACATCCTATTCAAACTTCAGTGGCAATCATTATTCAGTCTTATCACACGGTCTAACAGCTTGGAAAGTTATGAAGGTTTAGAAAATATATCAGTAAAATACTGTTGACCTTGGTAGGCTGATACTTTCATAAGACAATGTAACCCTAACACGCGATTCTCTCTCGAAATAAGACTGGGGCTGTCTTGCTTAGAAAGAAGTCTGAACGTAAGAAATAGTTCCTACATAACTGTATTTCGAGAAAATTAAGTGATACAATTCGAAATCAATCTCAACCTACACAGTCATCCACTTTACTACTCCGCCAACTTATTGTTTTCGTGCTTTCAGTCTAAGCTCTACAACATTTTTGCACCTATACTATCTCTTCATGATAGAAACTGCGTAAACGTAACAATGTATAGGCCAATCTAAGATCAATTTCAAGTAAACCGTTTATGCAATTAGTACGTATGCCTAAAAGACCACGGAGTAAAAAAAACAGGTGGAGGGACGAAACGACTTGATGATATAAACTAAAGATTAAAAGACAACTTGAAATAATTACTATATGACAATCAACATTATTGCTATCCTACAAACAAAATGTTACAACATGAGTAAAATATATAAATATGCTAGTTAGCACATCACACACATTTAACTTACTGTTCACGTTTAAACTGTAAAGAGTGTACTATTTCTGGATTCTTTTGTCTTATGTTCCACAAGTGTGCAACGTCGTCACCACAAATGGAAACCAATCCACCCTTGAAATGATTTGAAAATAAGTAAAATCCCCATTTTAGAAAAATGAGAATTTAAATTGCTGTTTTATGATATAATTTTAAGTTTTATCTCACTAACAACTAACAACAAACACATGGTAAGGGCAACTAACGTAACGGTATGATCGTAATTTAATGAACCAATACAGAAAGGGACACCACAACTTATTTCAAACCATGCATGTACGATGAAGTACACCTGTATGCACGCTCGAACCTCAAGAACAAGTTCGGTGAGACTATAATTTATGGACGACCTCTGAGCGACACTGAAGTGACCTTGAGGGTGAACAACTACCAATTAGAACTAAATAACGGTTATAAAGCAGTTAGAATTCTCATTCACAGTCGATGGTAAGGGTTAAAAATTAGACTTAGGGTTTTCATCACGAACTATAATGCCAAAACTCCATTCAGCCAAATGTATGGATGAAATCCGCGCCAAATTCGTGACTCGTTATCTTATATCTGATTAGTTCGTCCAGAAATTTTAGTCTCGCCACAAGTTCAATTTAGTGTTTGTTGCGCATAACAATAAGAAACAACCGAGAAAGTACAATTCTCTTCTTAAACTGAAAGATGACTTATAGCTCAAGATGAGGACGATAGCTATGAAACTTCTACTAGTAAAACTTCTGTTTCCTAAATATATACTTTAATAACCTTAATGTTGCTACTGAGAAATACGGGATAAACTAAGGATCTTAAAATAGTATTTGGAACACATTTAGCGACGTGGTTTATGGCATATGCGTGGAAGTTGAATAAGAACTGAGAATGAGCGTTATCGTTATATTTAAAAGGTGAAAACTTGTTTCCATAAAATCAAACATCTAGGTAGTTCAAGAAACAAACAAAACGCATATAATGCTGTAGGCTACGCATGACTATAGTCTAGAATTTACAGCCCATGCTTTTATAAGAAATTTGTAATCCCATACAGATTGTTCATGTAAAACGTCTCGTGACAGTAGGTTATCATATGTGCATTGAATGTGAGTGACTTACCTCGTTGACGAGAAAGAATATTTGAAGGACAGCAGATGCTGAGGGATGAGAGATGCTACAGTCTACACCTGGTCTTCCGAAACTATCCCAAGCATGTAAAAATATGTGAACGACTTACATCCTGATGAACCCACACTTCGTTCCAACAGCAACAATTCGTTGAACGGGATCAAAAGCGATGCAAGTCGGTTGGTGAGGAAAACCATGCACAGAGATCTGAAAAAAGATATCAATAGAAAACGAGTATGAGGACATTATTTTCATTCAGAAAATAAATATCTACCTTTCCAACTTGGAAATGTTCACTCTTTAAATACTCGTCGATTTCAATGGCTGACTTTGGTGCCGAATTTGGTTGAGACGAGCTAATATTCCAAGAACGTATTCCATCTATAACTTTCAGTAACCTTTTCGACTTTGCTGCCATAAGGTCAAAATCTCAGTAGTCTATACATCACTTAGAACCTAAGCGCTGACGGGGACCCTTAGAATTGTACAACTAATTGATAGACTTAAACAAACTACACGAGTTCTAAGGATTTTGCTCCGTTAACAACATTACAATGAAAAGATCACTTTCGAAGCATTGATGAACCACTGTCTCTCTACGGAAACATAGAAATGAGATGTCATTTTAAAGCGAAGTTTCATTGTGTCGCAAAATGAAATTAAAAGAACAATTGCTAGATGAACATGAGAATACTAAATTAAAAGGCGGTAAAATGAAAAATATCTGACACCCTATGTGTCGTGATTTTTTGCTTGTTAATGCTTGTCCAAACATAACACCGTCGACCAATATGTTAAGAGACTATGCTATATTCACTGAGCGGTTGGATTGGAAACCATTTTACTGGTTAAAAACTTTGTTGTTTTACGACAACACCGATCCGGTAGTATTTCACTAATTGTGTTCACAACGGGTTAGTCATCTCGAAGCCCTGCTAAATAAGGAAGTCATTAACAGAGATCATATTCCACAGGTTGAAATCATGAGTCGATTGAAGCTAGACCACCATCGAAAACCTGGAAGCACTGGACAGCCGTTTCATCCTAGTACGGGACTCCTCAGCAGTGCGCATCCACAATCCCGCACCATGCGAGGCCCGAACCCAGGACCCACTGGCTTTGCGCGCGAGCGCTTAACCACTGGACCACTGAGCTGGCATCCAACGGTGTTAATGTCTAACTTCATATTCATAACTATATCGCTTTAACACTGTCTTTTTCATTTGTTGAAAATGAATGAGAGCGAACTGTTCACATCAAAACCAAAATGAAAATCTCAGCGAAAAAATTAAACAACCACTCAGATTCATGCACCCAAGAGATATAAGTATTATTATCAGGCTTGGTTTAGTCTGCTTCATAGTTCCATTTCGATGACCGCTGTTTTAGCTGATAGGATGTAATTATATATACTATGTTTACGTTAATAATGTTATTTTCCGTCAACTACCATTAGTTATTCTCGTTTTCCAACCGCTAATGAATCGAGTTGACTTCTCAGTAGTGTCATGGGCTTTTATAATCTTAATTAATTCATTCACCTTTCCAAAATTTATACATGACTTTTTAGTCATTAGGCGAAACGTTATTGTTGTGACTGAGTTAGTTCCAGAGCTAAATCTTACCTCAACAGGTTAAAAGATTGTCCCCCTCAAATCACCTGAGTTATCGCAAGCCATACGTATCGTGAATAAAATATTAAAGGACCATTATTCTTTTTAAGTCCTTTAAATTATACTCTTCAGCTTGCTCAGGAGGTCATCAGTCAATTTGCGGAATCCGCTCCTGCTCAGACTTTAGTAAACAATTTATTTTGTTCTAATGGTAACAGTTAAGTAAGTGAGCAGATAGACTTGTCAAGATATCGCGATTTGCTCCGACTTGAAATTTCTCGGCCATTTGGTGGCATTCTGATAGTTTCGCAGTAATCAATAGTGCCAGTGCAGGCTGTATGTTTTCCCATTTATCGGCACCAATTGAACTGGTAAAATTGTTGACTCCAGTTCATTTCCCCAAAGGTCCATATATTTATACGAATGACATATTTCGCTTAAAACTTTGGTTTATTTCACTCAAAATTCTCAACGAACTTTTTTCAAACGATTGAAGTGGCGAAATTGAAATTCCCCCTTTATGAAGTCTGTCATGCCTTATATTTCCTCCGAGTTTGTCTTTACTTCCTCTTGTTATCAAATGTGACGTCACACTCGTGGTGGCAAGCTGTATCAAGTTCATTTGTTTGCATTATACAGAAGGCCGCTACAAACGTTGGGTTTGTACCAGTCTTAGAATATAATTTCCGGCATAATTATTAGAACCTTACTAGCTTATTCCAGTTTGTAAGCATACTTTGACAACTTAAACAAGATCTGATCAATTGGCAAATTTAAAGTTTTCCATAACCGTATTCATTTGTAAGTGACCTCCGAAATGAATGGCAAACGTCGGGCCTCATATTTCGGGTAGAAGTCACACTTTATGATCGAGCACAAACCTATCTTGCCTGCGCATGAAGGGTAAGTGATTATTCAGTGTTCTTTGTCTATGACCTTGATGAGGCTTGACAAACTCTCCATCACCTAGTTATTTGTTATCCGACGAGTGGACGGTAAGCATGAAGTATCGCTTGGCTGGGGTTCTGTGACACTTCACTAGCCATACAATAATGTCTATTCAGATTCAAAAACCGTTTGAGTCGTTACCAAATGTGTCGTTGGTAGTCGCGCAACGGAGGTGATTCAAAGATCCATGAGAATCTCCCTGGTGATCGTAGGCCGAAAAATCGAAAGAAAGACATGAAAACCAGTAGGGCAAAAACAAGTACTGATAAATCCAAGAATCTTAGGTTTCTGACATGATTAGGAAGGATGTACAGCTTGTAAGGATATAAGATGGTTTGTGGTGATAATAGTAAGGAATGATATAACTTTTAAACAGCTCTTATATGTAAAATTGAAATATATGGCAGTGAAAAGTGATTGATATTTTTTGTACAAATAGCACAAATAACGAATTCATTAGAAACAATGATACTAGAGCGGTAGCACAATTGGTGTATCACGAGTTAGTTTAATTGATCATACCCCCATTGGCTGGAAGAAGTATGTCTGCCATTGTCATTGATGGTTTTTCTTGTATAAACGTTTTTAAAAACTATATCCTTATTTCACAGCACCACAAAGAGTGCAGAAGTACAGCCGAAGACAAAGATATTTATGATTTCAAGTCACTAATTTATTGGTCATTCGGTAGTAACGTGTAAAAAACTGATGATTATTGCCACAGTCACTAAGAGTCGCACAGAACAAGAATATATGGCACGATGAAGTTGTTTAAACAGGATCGTTAACTGTGAGAGCCGCAAATTAGTTCTATGAATGAATTGATGAAAGTCGATTACACAGTTGACCAAGGAGTGTCACCGTGTAGTCATGTCAGTCATACGGATACAAAACGTTATCACTGAAGAGGTAGATGTGACTATTACATTATCAGTCTTTGGATTTCCTCGCTCACGTGAACTGATGAGTTGTGCGTACGGTTGCATTGTAATAAATCTCTATTAGCACGAAATAAGTAGTTTGTTCTAATCTTTGCGTAAATAAATTATTCTAATTTTTTTAATTGTCCTATCACTAATAAATGTGAACTCGTTATTGACGCAAGGGCTTCGTTGGTCACATTTTATAAATGTGTGTCTGCTAGCGCATATGTGTTTGCTTATTTACGTGTATCGCTTTCGTGCTTATAAAGACTGAGCGAATTATTACTGAGAGTTGACTGTATCTGATAATCCAGTTCACATGCATTCCTTTTCGTCGTTTATCTTTTGTCTCCATTATCGAATGTCTGAAACATATATTCCTCAAGTACTTTCGTAATCGATTTCTCATATCGATATTTTTACTATTTGCACTGCTTGACAAGTATCAGTTGTTTCAAAATTTTTAGTTACAAATTACGCAAAATAATCATTGTACTCGTTTATATTGGTCATCTGAATCTTTCCATTGATGTTTAGAACTGAAATTGAACAGTCTATTTTTGACATATTTGCATGCTGTCCGGATAGCTTCAATATTGCCTTAAGTCACAAAGACTATGAACAGAGATGGATAATAGCTAGCAGTGGGATCAAGGTCCGGTTAATTGGATGTGCCTACATTTCAGTGTGAGTGTTCTTTCCGAGACTTCAACCCAGTACTACTCTTCTGAAGCACCACTACGCTATCCACTTAGATACTGAGTCCAGATAGCCAGTGGCCTGTGTAAAGTGGTAAAGTTTGATTCATCTGTATTACCTGTTTGAATCTTCCCACTGATTTCTAGGACTATGATCACACTCCATCGGTGATTCCAAACTCAATTTATGCTTGATTAAAATCAGTTGATGTTATCGAAATGCTTTTTGACCTTAAAATGGTTACTATAGCTTTTCATAGTGAAAATATTAATCAACAATTGTTATGAATGTAGAATTATATGATGAGAAGTTGACAATTACTTAGTTAGATAAACTCACCATTACAACAATATTAAGGTCGGCTTAACTAACACTCAAGTAAATTTTCATCAAACCATGATGAAAGATGTATTTTTAGCTGGCTTACATTTGCAAGATAATAACCTAAAACTAATAACGTAATTATAGCTCATATATTAGAAATTCATTTTCATTGCTCATTAACTATAGATGGTACATAATGGACTCTGGACACCCTAGCATTGGTAAGTGTAAATTTAAGTAACGGTTTTTTTTATTATTACGACTGATAAATTTATGAACCAATGAATAACATAAAAATAAAAACACTTCCAATTTTAGATTAGCTGATTTTCAATTCGTATAGTTGACATTGGTAGGATTTGAAAGTGTAACTAATAATACAATGAACGTTATGTATCAGACCCAAACCTGATTATTCACATTTACTACAATCCATATTTTCATTACATGTCAAAACTTATTATTCTTGGGACGTAGAGCTATTCCGATTTGAAATCAAAATATTATGAATGAAGACAGAATTCACTAATCTCCATTTGAAATAAATAACAGAATAACAAATTAACTCTAAAATGATTTTTGACTGGATAAATAAAAAACACTAGACTCCAATACATGTGGCTAATAAGTTTATTCAATTTCTTTAAGCAAACCTGCATCTCATTAAGTGGTCAATAATGATTGTGTGGACTGAAACGTTCATTAAAAGTAACGAATCGAGCAAGCTAACCTCTTGCCAATGCTAATCGCTCTACCACGTTTGCATTAGTGCTATAAAACTACACTGAAAAATTAAAGTACCGATTTCGTGTAAGAACGTACGTGCAACATGTCTGATGTTCATATAGAACACATACGTACTAATTAACTATCCATGTCGAAATACACTCGTACTTGCGTGACCAAGCAAA